AAGGGAGTACCACCACGCCCAGTCTCAATTGCTGTCTCAGCATGACCTGGGGGCAGGGCCAGCACGGCAGGCCTGGGGATCAAACCCCGGCCCCTGTGCCTGCTTGCAGGTGCTTTAATCCGCTGAGCTATTTGGCCGGCCCCCTTTTGACTTTTAGCTTAAATAGTTCGGTATCTTCAAATACTACCATTTCTTTAATAAATCACCTAGGTGATTATGCAAAAAAATCCAGACCATGTACTCTTTAATGAAAAGCTTTGCATCTCTGTTGTACTTCCATTTCTTCAGAGAAAATATTCTTGTCTGTATGGCAGATCTCCTTTAGACCTGTTTTTAGTTGAAATTATTCTGCTGTATTTCCTCCTTGGTTTATTTCTACCTGAGTTTACTTTTGTTAATTGCCTTGCACTGGTTCAGTTTCTCATTAATGTTTTCTATCGTACCAGTAGGTTTTGAAAGATGAAGGGAGGTAAATTTGCTTTTTAAGTCCGCCATATTGAAAACAGGTTTGCTATGATTTACTTGGAGTGTGTTTTCTGTTTAGGTGAGCCTGGCCTTTATTTCATAATAGAAGAGCCTTTCTGATGGAATATTATAACTACATACGCGGGGAATCCCTACTTGTCACCTGATACACCTGATCAACTGGAGGCAGCAAGCTTCCAGACGCTATAGCCAGAGTGCTGGGGTTGAGTCATAATTCTCTCACTTGCCAGCTGCTTGTCTTGGGGCAATTTATTTAAATCTCCCTGTGACTCAGTGTCTTCGTCCGTGCAGTGGGGATGATGGTACCACTTCATTGGATTTGTTGAAAGGATTAAATGAAATTGCATTTTGGAAAGTTCAAGCAATATAGTAGCGATATTTAGTGTCTTGCTTATTATTAGGGTATAAGCAATTCCGAATGCTTTACTGGGCATCATGGTCTCAGGCAATGACGGTGAAATTTTTAGAGCTTTCAAGCTGCCCTCTGTGCCACACGTGCCACAGGCTCACCATCACTGGTCTGTGGGAATTTTCTACTGGGACGACCTGGAAGTCTCAGCTGGTTTCAAAGGCTTAATGTCACCTTGGTGGGTCCTGGGTGCTGATTTTTTATCCTAACATGTGGCTTAACTGACTGCTCTTCTGCTGCACTCAAGGCACGCCGGTGTGGGAATTTGCATACAACAGGAACGTTGTTCTTGGCATAACTTTCACATACATCTTTGATGAATTCACATGTATTTTTTACTGTCTCCCAAACCAAGCCATCGTTTCTCTATTGGATGTACATTAGCTTTATCTTTTTACCTGATAGGACCTTTTGAACAAACATGTCTAAACCATCAAAGTTAAATGATAGGATAGTTTTCCTCTTCGTACAAAAATTTCCCAAGTTTGCATGAGTGTGGCCAGACCCTGAACTGCAGACTCTGAGGGATAGGAGATATGTAGGTCTTGTTCAGCATACTGTTAGAAAAGTAATTTTGAATTCCTGTTCTTGGCTAGGAATTGAGTTAGGGTGCCCAAGAAAGAGTTGCCAGTCAGGAGAGAGATGGTTGAAAGCAAACTCAAGATCAAGGTGAAGGAGGATGTGTGCCAGGCCCGGGGAGCACAGAGAAGGCAGGATAACTGCCACTGACTGTCTTGTAGTGCTAAGAAAAACCCAGTGCTCCTCACCTCACATCCATTCCAGATTGGCAAGCAAACAGTGGGGTCCTCACTGGAATTCTGTGTGCCTCCTCAAATTCTGTCTGACTTGCATTTCTCTTGGAGTAAAGGAAAGGTTGCTGCCTCTTTTTCTCATGCTGCATGTAATTGGCCGGGTCTTACTGTGCCACGGACTCTTGACTGACCACCCATGGGAGTGAGGCCGCTGGGGTGCCAGTTGACCGAGCCAGACACACTTTCCAACCCTTCAAACTTTACATCAGACGCTTTTACATTCCTTGAGGTAGAGCCAACCACTCCATTTATTTTGTCTCAAGATCCTAAGTAACATTAAAAAAAAATTAGTCATGACTCAAAGAACTAAGCTGATGTATCGGCTTTTTTTGTTGGGCAGAGTGGCATGTGTTTTTGGAGTGAGAAGCTGAATGCAGACTGCCATGACGTGAATTTTTCAGCTCTGTAGCAGGGAAGTAGGGAGTGTGCCAAAGGCTCCATATTGGCTGCTGCGTGAGATGCTGGTGGTTTTCTGCTGTGTTTTTGCTCTTCAGTGTCGAGAATAAACTAGACAAAAGAGTAAAACTTCAGGGGAGCAAAGGACTACTTGTGTATGGCTAATCTTTTTGCTTAGAAGAGCAAGTATGTTTTGCAAAGTGGTCACTGACTTTGTCACTGTGCTTAGAATCTTGCTGTAATGTAAGAGAAAACACATCACTGTGTTGAGAACATTTGAATTTAGAAGGAGTAAAAGCCTAAGAAAATTGATTTGGGTTTGTAAGATTTGGAGAATGATTACATTAGCAGGATGCCATCATCCGATTGTCAATTTGACGTTTATCCATGGAGAATCTTCAAAGTCAAATCGCCACTCACTTTGCCTTCAAGCACTGCTTTTAAAAAAGGTAATAGGAGGGCCAGGGAGATGGCTCAGTGGAATAAATGCTTGCCTGGCAAGCGCAAGGGCCTGAGTTCAATCCCCGGTTGTGCCAAAAAAGAAAAAGAAAAGAAAAAAATAAAAAGGTAATAGGAAATAGGAAGCTAGGTATTTTACAAAAGGGCAGGGAGCTACAGAAAAAGAATTAAGATGTGTTAGTCAGGTGCATGTACTGGCTCCATGGAGAGTGTGATTATGTACTGTGAACATGTACTAATAGAAAAAGACTACAATTTTTTTGAATCTTAGTAAATATTGTAGTAGAGTAGGTTAAAAACTCAGGACCACCTGGGAGCGCTCGTTAACTTCCTCCATCAC